TACGCAATGTAACACTCTAAACAATTTTTTATTCTTTCCAACCATGCAAAATTACATTCAATTCTGAATATTNATATAANCTTCTTTTANATANAATAAAAAATAAAAACAAATANGATGATAAATGTTATATTTCTGTAACCCAAAATATCAAAAGTTTTGGACACTCAAAAACATAGAAAAATTATGTGTTGTCTCATTGTCATGTCATTTTACGTTTTTTTCTAAAAGATGTAATTTTTTTAAAAATAGAAAAATTTGTGAAAAAGAAGAATACACTTAAAAAAGAAAAAGGATTTTTCAATTATGAATGATATTTTTATAATTAAGACTACTACTACCTTAAGATTAAGAAAAATTCCTAATCTATAGTGTATAACATTTAAATAGAAAAATAAAAGAATTCAAAAAAACGAAAATTAATTTTATGAAATAAAGAAATTATGTCTTAATAAACTATTAACAACAAAAAAATAAATTAACGTAATTCAAAATACTTACATGGTATAACACTATTGATGGATTTAAATCCTACGTGAACGGCTTTAGGAGTTATGTATTTTTTGTTTTATTTTAATAATTTGGTAGTCATTTTTTTGTTTCTTCAAATAACACTTTATTATGTTATACTATAATACGAACATGGTGTTGTAAAAAACAGAGAGATACTAAAAGCAAAATTGAGTTTTTCTTCAAATTTTTTTTTTAATAATTTTGTTATTATGTTATGACCTTGGTAAAATTTATATCTATATTCACAACTGAACACAGTAAAATATAAATATGAATATACAAACCTACAACCCAAAAGAACCAATGAAACAAAAGTGTAGATTGAAGGATCATGAGACGACGCAAATAACTTATACGTAAATGGTAGAAACACAATTCAAGAATTTGAAAATATATGTAAATAAACAGTGAAGAAAACATACCATAATTTACATGTAGATAAATACGTGATCTCATATTTGNAAGAATATGANGGNAGTAAATACGTGATCTCATAGCTGCACAAACATGATGGTAGATATAGTAAATAGGACATGTAACATAAAAGTTTTTAAATAAAATCCAATTAGAACACATGATCATATTAGCATCAAAAGTACGATGATGATAAATCAATTTTTTTTTAGTAGAGAATACGTACCTGAAGCCAAAACGAATCTAGATGTAGAGAACACAAAAACAGGTTAAGGTGAACAATAGAAGTAACCCAAATGATTAATCGAACAAATAATGATAGTAATCCAAGAAAAAGTATTAAAAAAAACAAAAAAAAAGTAAAAGACCTACGAACTTACGAAACTGCGAAAACACTGAAATAAGTAAAATGATGGAGATGTACAACAAACATATATATAGGACACATAAATTTAGGGCTACACTTTAATGAATATTACTTGTTTACAAAATTAAAACAACTTGTTTACAAAATTTCCTATAAATTTAGGCAAAATTAAGTTAATTAGGAAGTTTTATACAAAATTAAAAAAATTTCTTAATCTGTAGTTTAGAAAATTTAAATAGGAAATTCAAAACTAAAAACTCCATAAAAAATAGAATTACTAAAACCTATGAATTTATGATAAAAGGAAATTATGTCTTAGTTTTCTATTAACAATAGGAATAAAATTAACTTAATTCTAAATGCTTACATGGCTTAGCACTATTGGTTGATTTAAATCCTATGTGGATAGGAGCTTCGGAAATTACTAAAACCTATGAGTTTATGATATAAGAAAATTATGTCTTAGTTTCCTATTAACAATGGGAATAAAATTAACTTAATTCTAAATGATTATATGATTTAATAGTATTGGTTGAATTAAATTCTTTGTGGACGTATTTAGGAGTTTATAGCCTCAATTTTTATATAATATAGATTATGATAAGATGAGTAAATTAGTATTCTATAAATTCCATTCCAACAATTTTAGTTGTTGCTTGTCGGCTTCTGCGCGAAATAAACAAATAGGTCTCAAGGGAAAAAAAAAAAAAAAGTTAGGCGACAAACAATCGTCTTCTCGTTGAGAAATTTCAGGCAGATCTTTGCAATTTTGGCGGCTTCCATGTCGTGTTAATCTCGACCCAACCATGGAAATCGAGGAATCTCTTGATAATCGTGTCGATATGGATAGTATTCGTGTAAAGCGAAAGACTTTGCAGAATTTGCTCGAAGATTGCCAAAGAGCTCTTGAGCTTCTCGGCGATAGAAACGGTATCTCCCAAGACCGCGGCGGAGAAGAAAGCGAGGGATCGGACAGGGAAGAGTTGTCTTCTTCCGATCCATCAGATCCTGAAGCCGATCAAGTATGCTTGTTTCTCACTCTCTCTCCCCCTCTATACCTTAATTTGATATCGAAGAGAAAATCTAGAATCTTTGTCTTAGTTTCATTGTTAGTAATGGAACATCATAGATTCTCTGAGGTTGTGAAGCGATTCTCATTTTAGATTTAAAGTGGGTCATGAGTTTGGTGAATAAAAAATATTGGCTTTGTGCTTGCTCTGGAACAATACTTATGTCTGGATACAAATTATACAAGACTCTGTTGAAATCTGAGGCAGAAAATTAGTAATTTGGTATAAAAGTTGTTGGAACATTATAATTGTAGAGTTTCATTGGATAATCTGTAGATTATGATCTCATCAAATCTAGAGTGATCTCATTGAAATATGATATCTTCTGTTGTTTCAGTTATATGAGCTCATCAAATCTAGAGTTGAGTGTCATGACTTTCGTGCAAAGATAGAGTTAGCCCAAGTTTCAGTTCTCCAAGATATTGCTGGTAAGAAGTTTAATTTCAATGCATGTTTGGTGTTGTGTTTCGCGTATTGGTTGTAGAGAGATAACTTTACGTTCTTGAATTGCAGAAGATAGTAGCTCTTGGGATGTTGTTAGTGAAGATGATATATGGAGTGAAGAAAGTATGGGTCAAACAGAAGATGATTATGTGGTTGTTAGGGAAGAAGATATAGCGGACGGTATTGCCTGTTTCATGGCTACATATTTATCATCCCTTAAGCAGACAAAGGTACGTAAGGGCCCGTTCTTGTCCTTGCTCGCTTTGTATCTCATCGTCTTTTCGTGTGAACTTACTTTGAGTGCTATCTTTGTGTAGGATATATCACCTGATCAGCTTCAGAAAGGTAAATTTTTTACTTCATGTGTCACACAATTAGAAACAGTTTCCGCTTTAGTACTTTCCCGGAACCAAAGAAAGTAGCTGAGGAATTTAGCTGTTTGATCCCCTAACTATCTTACTAACAAAATGTTAGCGAGGGTGACTCTTATATGTGTCCGTAGAAGAGATTTTTTTTTTGAAGATACTAAAAGTTTGCATATGAATTGTGATGTAGCACTTAGCACGATGTTTTCAGTAAAGAAGAGAAAGGGGAAGCTTCGTAAAGCGTGGGAAGGGAGTAAAGTGATTTACAACGTAGCATCATGGAGCGCAACTGCGATGGGGTAAATCGAGCAAAAACACCCTCTTTAATACATCCCAATCATAGCTTGTTGTGTGTCTGAATTGTCGCCAATCTAATCGCCATTTAATTTTTTTTTTTTGTAACAGGATCTATCAAAACCCGGTGATCTTGAGTATCGCATCCAAAGCCTTCTGGGCGTCGTGCCAGGTCATATCAAAGCTTGTCTGATTGGAAGACTAATATCACATGGTGTTCATAAGTTACAACAGCCTCAACTCTACAATGTTATATATCATTTAATCTTTGTTTGTACAAATGCCATTTGTTGCTCAATTTCATATGCTTATGTATGTCGCATTCATTAAAATTTAATAAAGATAGTTTTGTGTGTTTACTTAATCACAACTCAACTCGTATTGGATGTAATGACATTTAGTAGTGCTAAAGCAAAACGTGGTAACTATTCTACTTTTATTATACATCCAAAGCTATCTGAAGGTTTCGACAGTTTGCTTCACCAAAGCCAAAATACTTGCAGCTTCGAGCAGACAAGCAAATGAGACCTGATCCCTAGGATCTGTTTTTGCTGTATCATTACTTGAATCATCTATAACCTCTTTGGCTCAGGCAATCGTCGATCATTGATTATCCACGAATGCTCAAAGCTTAAAATGGAAGCTGCTTATGTGTCCCCATATATTTGTTCTGTGTTTTGGTGTTACGAAGAAGCTGGCATTGATGTCATTATACAGTTTATGAGACTGAAATAAAATGGTTGTTGTGGTTTAAAGCATTGATTTAGGCATAGCATTAACATTAACATACCTACCAACTAGTTTAGTGACAATGTACTTGAGAGGAATAACTAGAACCTAATGAACAACAATAACAAAAGCCTATTAGGTTTCCAACTTGTTTACTAAGCTCTATGCTCTCTTGCTTTACTTTTTGGTTTTGGTGAGAGGGCCTCCTCCCATTGCGAGGCTCGTCCAAACCCAATCTTCATTTTCAATGTTCGGCTCAGTTCCGCACTTGCTTTCGCATTCTGCACTTCCGATGATCGGCTCAAGAGGCTTGTCCTTGTCCAAAGGAGCTCTGCAGTTGCAACATTTCTCCGGTGGGTTTTCAGGCTCTGCAAAGAGAATGTTGTAATTTCTCGCAGTCCAATTCTGGAGATAAGGGGTGTGATCAGTCTTGTCTCGTGAGATAATCAACACATTTGATGCACGATTCTCTATCATCCAGAAACGCATCTGCTCAAACATGGCTTTAAACCTACCATGTCTATCTCCTGATAATAATAAAAATAAACATCATCTTTAAGCTACGGACACAAGAGTGAGAGTGTTGAAGAGGATTTTTTTTTCAAAGTGAAGGAATTTGGATTCACCTGCGATTATCAAGTTGATTCCGGCGAGTTGAAAGTCATTTCTGATCGTCTTCTTCTCTTTGTAAGCCTTGATTTCAATCTCACCACGATAACCCTGATTCGCGAGTGCTGATTTGATGTTCTGAGAAATTGAAGCAGGATCGAGACCATTGAGGATTGGACAATCCTCTACGTCCCAGAACACGCCTGTCTTAGCCTCTGCGAGGTTTTTAGACAAACAATTGGATCAAGATTTAGACAAACAAATG